ACTTTTTATTCAGTTGATCTTTTATTCGGATAAATTTTTATCCAGACAAATCTATATATTCGATTGGATAATGCCGAATAAAATTGTACACGTTAATCCTTATCTCTTGTCCGTCGTTCGTCAATAAAATTTTGCCCGGTTGAAGTTGCGAGTGCAAAAAAAAGTTCCCCACGTCGATAGGATTGCACAATATTACCAGCCGAATATTTCAAAATTCTTTTCTGCTATAGCGCACATCTAGCAACCATGCTAGCGGTTCTCTTGAACATTCGAAGTTGATAATTGCAGCAGTTTCCGAGAAACCGATCACGAATTTGGCTTTTCTACGTGCCGCGAAAAAGAAAAATGTCCGCCCCGATCAAATGTTTCTCGCGTCAAATCTCGCGAAACGCACCGACGAATCTTTTTTCAAACAATTCTCCCGATCGGTGCGCGCGCGCGCGCGTGCGCCCGTGCAACACAGAACCGCGCGTGCAGTCTCGTTATACACACCGGTTCTCGAAAGGCTCAAGCCGCGACAGTTAAAATAAAAATTTTTCCGCGCGACTACGTGCCCGGATACAACGATTTCCGCGCGCCAACTACCAGGCGGATGACTCCGTGACTGCGCCAGAATTTTACACCAACTCTTTATACGTCTTTCGTAATTTTTTTTTTTTTCTTTTTTTGGACGCGGCCCGTTAAACTTTTTATCCCTGCGCGGGGCGTGATGATTTTTTCAGAACGGCCATCGTGCAGCTGGCCCGCTCGCCTCCCGCACACTGACGGACCGCGGCGCCGCGCCGGTTTCCAGCTTTTAAACCGGGCACAGATTCGCGTGGATTGCACGAACGGATTAAGTGGATTACGACGCAGTCACTTTGCAGAGCCCTTTGAGGCAGCCGGATCTTAAAAAATTAAACCGGCCCGACCGTAGTTTAAACCGCTCTCGCTCTCCCTTGCGCGCTTCCTCGCGCGTCGCCGTTGCTGTTTCCTGTTCAACGTTTTGTCGGGCGGAAACGTTCCGGGAGCCTAATCGGCTCGTTTACGATGCACGATTTTTTTACCCGAGACGCTAAAGCAGATTTGCGAGCTACACGGTTAAATAATACACGCCGGAGAGCCATTATGTTTAGCGTTTTCTGCTGCTTTTAAACCGGTTGCCGGCCGTTCAACAGAGAATGCTTGCTCTTTCCGTAGTCCGTCATTAACATTCACATTTGCAAGCACAGTGGGGCCGAGCACATGTCCGAGGTATTTGAAGGCACGAAAGTGTACAGATAACGGAATTTTTTGGTAATAGATATTACATTATTCTATCGCATTAATTCTTTCTCTGTTAATTATTGCTATTGCTATTGTTAGTATTATTTCTATATTTAACCGTTATTTAATCGTACCAATTGCGATTGCGTAAATATTTTCTTCCACTATCGTGTATGCAGTAAATTCTAACCCAATTTTCTCAAAATTATATATATGTGAACGATGATATGGTGACGACGTTAAATATAGAAATAATACTAACAATAGCAATAGCAATAATTCACAGAGATATATATTATTATATATAATATATATATTCTAATATATATATATATTATATATTATTATATATTATATATAATGAACTATAATAAACTGATTAATGACTTATTATGATAAGTCGTAAAAAAGTTTACATTACAGCAAATTTACAGCAAGTTTACATTACAGCAACTAATGATGCTTGAAAATGAACTAAAGGCACAATAATTGGCTACCCCAGTAAACCCGCTCCACTACCCTACATGGTCGAACACCCTTTTTCTTCGTGGACCTGGCTGTTGGATATTATGTGCACCTAAGGGAAAGAATGATGGGCGGAGATTAAAATTGCTTGGCCATCATCAAAATAGAGTGACCTAATTCCTATTAAACCTGGATTAACCGGGGAGCATCGAGTGTCATTTTTCAACCTCCATGGTCATATCAGGATAATTACAGTACGGTTTTGTACGCGTCGCGATGACATTTACGTGGCAATACTAAAAGCAGCACAAAATTTTGGCATCGTGGGCTCGTGCCGTGAATATCGTTCATGATAAGATCTCCCTCTCTCTCTCCTTCCATCTCTCTCTCTCTTTTCCTCTTTCTCTTTTTTCTCTCACTCCTTCTCTCTCTCTCTTTCTCTCTCTCTTTCTGTCTCTCTTTCTGTCTCTCTTTCTGTTTCTCTCTTTCTCTCTCTCTCTCTTTCTGTCTCTCTCTTTCTGTCTCTCTTTCTGTCTCTCTCTTTCTCTCTCTCTCTCTTTCTGTCTCTCTTTCTGTTTCTCACTCTCTCTCTCTCTCTCTCGCTCTTTTTCTCTCTTCGCATGTATGCATGCGTAGTTGTAGATTCGATTACAGGGAACAATGGGCAGCTTTCCATGAAGAAACAGTCGGTTTTCCAGCATGAATATTTTTGCAAGCAGCCTGCATATTGATTACGCGAACAAGCGGTATACCAGCATTATTGTAAAGAACGACGCGATATAAACTATCGGCGGGATCGATATTAATGTTATGGCGTAATGCTTTGAAATTTAGATGGCGCCATTTTTCCATCGATATTTTTATCTCGCCTAATGCCGTGCAAGCGAACTATCGAATTTAACGGCAACGATCGTTCCAGGTTGGAAATTTATAAATACTATTTGATAGAACGCTACGGAAATTTGAAACCTCGTAGCGACGTAGTTACAGTTATTTCTGGAATATCGAGTACTTTTTCCCTATTTTATGAGTATATTTTTCCCGGAAATGAAAATGCCTGTCTCCTTATACACGGGCTAACGAAAGTGTTCGAGCTGACCATTCAGAGTTATTTTTCAATTGTAAAATATAATTTAATGAGCACAGTCTCTTTGCCAGAAAAAGCATCGTAATTTGAGTATTTCAAGCGATTCATTCGAAAGTCTAAATGCTTTCTGTTATCTAAGTTCAATGATGTAACGCTACTTAATAATACAGAAAGCTTCCTTGAAACTTCACTGTCGTCTTATACAATTGGATGCTTATAAATGGTTCTCATCGTTTCGTATCGAATCGAAGAATCTACAACTGTTGAGTGAGATTAATTCATCTGTATGTCAAGACATAAAATAGTTTCATTGACACAGTGGTGCGAATAATTACAGATTCAAAGTAAGTTTAACACGTTTAAACAAAAACTTAACGATATATCAGATTTGTATATTTCTATATTAGAAGTGATAGAAAATAGAAATATACAAATATAACATTTTGTTAAGCTTTCGTTTAGATATCGGTAACAATGTAAAAGTTACTTTGAGTTTATAATTATCCACCACACTGTATTTATAGCTTAATTGTCATCTTACATCAAACTCGATCATCGATATATCAGATTTGTATATTTCTACATTAGAAGTGATAGAAAATAGAAATATACAAATATAACATTTTGTTAAGCTTTCGTTTACATATCGGTAACAATGTAAAAGTTACTTTGAGTTTATAATTATCCACCACACTGTATTTGTAGCTTAATTGTCATCTTACATGAAACTCAATTATTGGACAAGCTGTACTATTACTGGCTGTTACTAATTTTTGCAAAGGAACACAGAGGTCTTATGCTGAAGAAAATTATTCTAATCCCAAGCCGAGATAGAAAATGGTTTCAACGATGCGATACGTTTCGACAACGGAGAAAATTTCGTTCGAGGAACTCGACTGTCGTATTAACTATATCACCATTTCACCTGAGCTCGTTTATTCGTGCAAAGAGTCGCAACAAGCTTGCCGATGGCTTGCTGAGGCATTGCCTCGAGTTGAAATACATATATCGGGTAATACTCACGAGCACAAGCAATGGGCAGCGGTTAGGACGAATTTTGAGTTGAGAATGGTACCGCCGCAAAAGTGTCCACCTTTTCTGCTGATGCTAACCATCCAAGGAAATTCGCGCGGTATCGCATTTTCTCCACCGACGAGTCTGGCCGCACGTGTGCCAATCGCTCCATGTCCGCAGGGCACGTCTGCAACTGTTAACGGAACGTCCGCCTTATTAACGTCCGGCAAAGTCGGTAAGCAATTGCGACAACAAGCAAAAAAAAGAAGGAAAAGCGTATGTGTCCGCCGGTTACGAATCGAAAGGAAATTACTGGAATAGAGAAAATGGGTTCGGAAAAGTTGCAACCGTCAGGGACCTCGTTCTCGTTACAGGCTTTTTGTTCGTTTCTCTTTTTTTTTCCATTAAACGTACCCGCACGCCAAGAGCAGCGCGCCCTGTACTCGTGCCAGAAAAGTTCGTTTTAACTTTTATCGGAAATAATCACTTAGCAAACAGGCGTGTTCATTAACGCCGAACGGGATTCCGTTTGGTTCATACCGCACCGCGAATGGTACTTTTTCCATTTGCGCAAGTTGCATTTCGAAAGGGTGCACGTGAACACAAGGCGCGTTTCAAAGAGGCCTGTTCCCGTTGGTTGGGAAATGCTTCAGCTAAACTATGTGACCGGTGGTATTGGAATTTCCGAAATTGAAAGAATTTTTATGTTACGGAAGATGACGCGGAGGCGAAACTTCCGGAGACAAAGTGTACGCTGATATTGACGCGGTCTTTTCTTCCTTCCATTATTGCTTTTGGGAAATTTCGAATACAAGTTAGCTGTACCGAGCTCTATTACAAATTGCTTCTGGAGTTTGTCGAAGTATTTTGTATCTAGAGAAACAAAATATTTCGCTCGCTAAAGTACCGTTTTCATTTCGGCGAACATGTAAAACATGACGATTAACGACTATTTATTAAGTGAACAAATTAAGGCGCTATCTTTTTGAAGCAAGCATCTTTGAATTGCCGAAACATGACTCGTTATTTGTTAACACTTTGTTCCACTTTTTAAGTAACTGTTCACCCCTCTTGCAGAAAAAAAAATGATGGTTATGAAAATGGCAGTGAAAACATGAATGCCCTTTTAACTTTCCTTTAACGTTTCAAAATTCACGTATCGACGATATAGTAAACGGAATACGTGACACAATACAATATTGTAATATTCAGTCAATAAGTTGCATTCAGAATAGATAACGTACGAATAATTTTCGGATCAAGAAAGTAAGGTTAGACGTAACACGTGGTTTGGCATGAATTCAATAATCGAAGCAATCATCGAAGAAGACATGAGAACTTAATTCAGTTGCAGTGCACAATAAAATAGAAACAAGACGAAAATTTATTTCAGTTATTGAATCACTTTAAATGAAGCAATATAGCTACGAAGTTAATTGTAGTTAATTTAATTATAGTTTTTCTGTAATTTAGACGAGTTCTAAGACGAGTTTTCATTTTGGAAAGTATCGTTTCTGCATGTTTGTCATCTTTATTTGCAACGTGTTTCTTATGTTTTCTAATAGGATTAAGGCAGGAACACGCCAAAACTATTGAGGAAATTTAAAATGTTAATTTCCGCATTTTGTGGATCTTAAGAAGTTAAAGTTTTGATTCGATTATGAAAATTTCACATCAAATTTTATTTCAAACATTAAATATCTGTAATTCGATATTATTTTTAAATGCTAGTAAAATTATTGTAAGGGCAGAGTAATCAAAAGGCGAGCACAGTAATTGACACACTTATCTGTTTGCGTTGCTGGTTGTGATTTTTTGAAAGCATAGAGAATATGGTTCAAATAATAAATCAATCACAATTTTCTATTATTATGCGAAAGCAAAAAGTACGCCAATGTAAATATACGTTGAACAATAATAGTTTAACAATATTTTACGCGATATTTTGGCTGGAGATTAAAAACATGCGCCACTTTATATCTAACTTTACGAAAACCAGTTCGATCTCATCTATTTCACCTTCGTTTAATTACAAAAAAGATATTGTGTTACTGTCGACGCCATTTCAGAGTAACTAACACGACGATTTTCTATTATTATGTGAAAGCAAAAAATACGTCAATGTAAATACACATTGAACAATAATAGTTTATGCGATATTTTGGCTGGAGATTAAAAACATGCGCCACTTTATATCTAACTTTACGAAAACCAGTTCGATCTCATCTATTTCACCTTCGTTTAATTAGAAAAAAGATATTGTGTTACTGTCGACGCCATTTCATGTTACAGCCGTCCAGATGTACGATACAATTGTATCCAGCCTTCAGTTTTTGTTAACAATATTTTAACAATATTTTTACCAATGCAATAGTTCTCGCGTGATCGTAGTACAGAGTGAAATTATGGCTTTCGATCACGCTCTCCCTCTACTTTTTCCCATACTACGCCTCCGATAATATCTGTCCGGGCCAACGATCGCACAATGCGCGACCGAACAAGAGCATTCGAGCATTTTCAACAAGCAATTGTTAAAACAACGTCATCCGCGTGCCACCTGCAGTCGGAATCCGTACAAAAGACTCGAAAAAAGAATCCCCCGGGCTGTCTACACCCTCTCGAAAAAGGATGAGCAGGAGGGAAAACGGGGGAGGGTGAACGCGAGCGAGAGGGGGTGGTCCCGCGGTACGCCGCCACCGAAGGCATCAGCATATTATCATGACCATGTTCGGCCTGCTTTTGACATATCTATTACGCGTTTCCGAATAGAGGCGACTTCGAATTCTATGCCTGTTCCGTTGCCTACCCCCGCGCGCCCCCGCCTCTATCCGTATCGCTCTCTTTCTCTATCCCGGTCGTTTCGGCTCGGTGCCCCTCCGCCTTGCCAACGTCGTTGTCAACGGGGCCGAAGAGAAGAGAAACCAGAGGGCGGAAGTAGAGAAAGGGACTTCGGGGGCGGCGAGGGGGGTGGAGGGGCCCCGCGGAGCATGGGGCGAGGGCAGGATGCTGCAGACGTAGAGGTCCAATTAATCAGCCGGGGCGTGAAACGAGGAGGGGGATTCGGCGGAGGGCTAAAGGGTGGCTTCGAGGGCGAAGGGCGGCGAGGGGTTGTCGCAGGGATTGCGATGACAGATCCGCCGTATCTGTCCCTATCTACTCGGGGCATTAAATTCGCGCGATGCCAGTACCGGCACCGGCACACCGGCACCATCACCATCACCGCGGCTGCGATCCTCTTGAATCGGTTAACATTCCGTTGTACCCGCCGGTTCAGGTTTCAATTAAATCGATTCCACCGCGGACACCGGACCGCATCCGAGCATGGCCCGTCGCACGCCCGAAAAGATCCGAGGACCTGTCGATCTGCCGAGACGATCCGAGGATCCGTCGAGCCGCGAGAAGATTCGAAGCACAGTGCAAGAAGAATTGGTAATCCGACGCATCTGTGATCTTAATGACGCTATTCTGGTTTTCCTCGCTGGGTGCTCTAGCGACGAGAGAGCATCTATAATACGATCAATAGACACGGTGCCCCAAAAATGTCTCGCAATCCGAAAGTGGCGGGTTCCTCGGGTCATTCGAAGCAACTTTTTTCTTTACAAAAATTTTCTCCGGAAAACAGTGACCAGTGAGAGGCGAGCTCGAATTTCCTCGAAATTGCTTGTCCATGATCTTTATAAACTTTTGCTATAAACTTATAAGCTTTAAAAATAGAGCGCACCGAAATAAATACGCTTAGAGTATACTACAATAAATTACACTTTTCTCTCAAATTGGCCTCATGATTTGCCTCGTTATATTTTTCCACGAGTTGGTATATGGGTTATATCTGTCAATGCAATATTGAAGAACGTTCTTTATTGTATATAGTACGTATCAATCATCTTCCTTACATACGAACTCCGAAAATAAACGAAGTTATAGCGAGCTTATAACATTATCGATATACTAAACTTCGAAGGCATTTTACTATTGAAACATACTGTACTGTAATATATATAATAGTATACTGTACATACTATACTGTATTATATATATATATATATATATATAAACATACTATTGAGACACTCTTGTGCCATTTTTCTTCCAAAATATAGAATCTGCAGAGCTGAAGTTTACCATTGTAAATGCAGAACATCTCGCGAGACTTGCGCGAAGAAGAACCGGACACGATGATGTCGAACTTCATTTTTCCACTGTTTTGTCCGTGTGCGCATTGCGCAACGGCCGTAAAATAGACCGTAATGACTGGTTCATATTGTATTTCCAGTCCTCACCGTTTTGTAAAATGATTTCATGATATCGCGGCCTATTTGTATATCTGGTAAACACGATAAAATGGCAAACTTTATTGAAGCTTCAGAGAATTTTTACGTTATCGCTCGAATCGCTTAATAAAGCGATTACAGCTCCATTCGGAGCTTGTTTTTATAAAATCCGCCATTTATTCGAGCGGATAAAATACTCGACAGAAAATGGAAATTCTTTTTCACCGCACCCGTTGCTCTGCAACGATCTTCAACGATTTTAATTCGAATCGATGTTCGCGGTTTAATTAGCACCGTTAGAACTCTTTGATATCTTCATTATAGCAGGATATATATATATCGAGTTCCTTTATGCGACGCAATTTTAAGCAACGAACATCGCGTCTCACATATATGTTAAGCGTTTCATTTCGTTCGATTTTATTCCATAAAGAATAACAACACGCGGATGTTGTTCGTGGGATGATGCGCGCGGATTAAAAAGTGCTCGTAGGGAAAAAATTACCAGTTAAAAAAATCGATTAAAACTCGTCGCGTCAAAACCTGTCCCATTTAATCGCGTGGAATATTTTTTTATCAACGCAGCGGCGCGGGAGCGACGCGGGGGCAGAATTTCGGCGGGATTCGTGGTCCGCGAGCGTGCTCGCGCGCGATCGTTCGCCCGTAAAATTCAGTAGTACAAAACACGGATGTCGCGGCGTATGAGATATGGGACTGTAAAGGATTAATCGAGGCTGTCTAGATTGATAGCAATTTATCTTGGTAATTAATTTATCTTGCCAGCCGATACGAGATGACATTATAACCCCGTTGGTTATGAAAATGATTTACGTAATCGTAATAGAAATAATTCACTAACATTATATCCACAGGGGATGAAATTTCGAGCGGTCACACACCGAGTGTATTTATCGATTTCGATTCAACGAGCCGGTTGCAATTTTATTGGAGAAACACATTCGGTTATGATGCATTGCGTTTTGTCTTTCCGCGTAGCCGATGACATTATTTTAATTCCTACGTCTCAGTTGTTATTGCTCTACGGGCAATTCAGTCTTTTTATGCGCACTGTGGCTCAAGATTTTTTGTATAATTTTTTCTCTTTTGTATATAAACATTAGAAAAATAGAAATTTGTATAAAAAATTTGTTATTTAGCGCTATGTAATCGATATTACGCAAACAGTATAACCGCTTAAGGGGGTTGAAACTGTCCTTTAGACGATTTATATCGTCTGTGGACCGTTCGATTGATCGTAAAAAGTCGATCACGCATTTTTGAGAATTTTTGAGAAT